GAAGTCATTCACTTGTGAATGATGTTGTTGGAAATGATAGGGGTAGTGCGTAAATAGAAATGAGTATGGGAATAAAAACCCGTACCTTTACCTGAATAGATGACCATAGGCCACGTGTAGTTATGAGTCATAATAAAAAGTAATAACCGGGGTCATGGTGGCTGTAGTCGAAGGAAAACATGTGATACGGAGTCACTGTGGCCGTAGGCGAAATAAAAATACATGACACGGAGTCACTATGGCCGTAGCCAAAGTAAATCGTGTGACACTGGGTCGCTATGGCCGTAGCCGAAGTAAAACGTGTGACACTGGGTCACTATGGCCGTAGCCGAAGTAAAACGTGTGACACTGGGTCACTATGGCCGTAGCCGAAGTAAAACGTGTGACACTGGGTCACTATGGCCAGAGCTGAAGTAAAACGTGTGACACTGGGTCACTATGGCCGGAGCCGAAGTGAAAGGTGTGACTATGGGTCACTATGGCCGGAGCCGAAGTGAGGTGTGACTGGGTCACTTTGGCCGTAGCCGAAGTAAAACGTGTGACACTGGGTCACTATGGCCGGAGCCGAAGTGAAAGGTGTGACTATGGGTCATTATGGCCGGAGCCGAAGTGAAAGGTGTGACTATGGGTCACTATGGCCGGAGCCGAAGTGAGGTGTGACTGGGTCACTATGGCCGTAGCCGAAGTAAAACGTGTGACACTGGGTCACTATGGCCGGAGTCGAAGTGAAAGGTGTGATTATGGGTCACTATGGCTAGAGCCGAAGTGAGGTGTGACTGGGTCACTATGGCCGTAGCCGAAGTAAAATGTGTGACACTGGGTCACTATGGCCGTAGCCGAAGTAAAACGTGTGACACTGGGTCGCTATGGCCGGAGTCGAAGTGAGGCGTGTGACACTAGGTCACTGTGGCCGTAGGCGAAGTGAAACACTTGCCAAAATTTAAAATGTACAAAAGTGGAGAAGAGTGTTGAAATGGGCTTTAGTGGGCCCGTTTGAGAAGTCTGACTAAGACGCGGTACGTGACGCGACAGCTGTCCTCTTAATGACGTGCGTAATAAATGCCGCTGCAAAAAGATAACCGCAATAGTCTAACGGGCAGATTTGAAAAGCGAACCGTCGAGCTTGAAACGGTGTCGTTTAATGGTTAACCGTCGAATTCTAAATGGTGTCTCTGCAGCCGTTGGATTGAGTTAATCACA